CAGCTAAAGGATCTGTACTCAATTGCCCATTTCAACATGCAGCCTTGTATCATGCTATGCACATTTTTGTTCATATTGAATATCGGCTATTTCTGGACTGAGATCCTGAGACTTTAAGTTAGTACATTTGAACAGTTCTGATTTAGTTTGGAAGCAGGCACTCGCTGAAAATAATTGGTAAGAATATTCCTCCACTCCCATCCCTGGCCTTTCAGTTTTGGACTCTGACTTTCAGCAAGGAAGATAGGTTTAAATGGATGTGGTCATTAAGTGAGGGTTAAAGAAAGAAAGAAATGGCCCTCAAGAAACATGTATAGAATGCTGACAAAACAGAACCAGTTTCCAGACTCCATTTGGGCCACCTATTGTCAGACCTATTCAAGTAAGAGCGTGTGTGTGTGTGTGTGTGTGTGTGTGTGTGTGTGGTTGGGGGGGCGGGGAATGGTATAAGAAACGAGAAATCCCTAAAAAGAATATTGTGGTAAGATCCCAAAAGCATATCAGTTAGTAATTGTATACAGTCACTAATGGGAACAGCCTTGTTCTGCGAGCTAAAATCATGATCATTAGGTAATCAGATCTAGTGCTCTGGGGCCTCCCCCGACACGGTGATTGTTGTAGACTAGATCAGGACATAATAGCATGTTTGATTCTTTCCTCCTTCTCTCCTATCAGGGCTGGCCAGTCGCCCAAGATTTGCGGGGAGAGAGAGGAGAGCTGTGAGTTTCAGAATGTTTTTTCCTCGGGGATGGGCCTCATGTCTCAGCCTTCCTAGGAGATCATATGTCTCCTGTTATGTGTTATGCACACGTATGTCTCTCCCTCCATATGTGCATTTGTTCTTCAATCTCAGGCTGAACTGGCTATGACTTTTGGGTTTATCAAATTCAGATGCATCAGGCAACCCCATGCATAGTTTTGATCAGGTGGTCAGGGGCCATAAGCTCAGTTGTTTGGGTTGGATCAAGCAGGCAGCGTGAATATGAAATGGAGTCTGCAACAAGCTGGAGAATCTACTTCCCTTCCCAAGGAGGGTCATAGTCAGCTTCAGACAATGGTTATCATGTGATCCCATGATCAGACCTTTTGATTTTTTGAGAAAATCCAGAAATCCAGATTTTTAAAAATGTAATTTCCTGATTTTAAAGGTTTGTAATTATTAACATTAAAAAAAATCACTTTATAGGCTAACTACGTAAGGATAAAATAAGACAAATCAGTAGGTCTCATTTGGCTCCCAACCCTAGGCCTCCAGGTTAAATTGATTTTCTACAGAGAAAAATCCAACTTATTCAAGTTACTCTAAGTTATGGGAGACTATATCATAAGGATATGTGACAGTAAGATAAACCGGATTTTCAACTATGCGTTAAAGCCTCATAGAAACCCAGGACCTCTATTAAACAGCCCAGGTCAAGGAATGAACAAGAACAACATTTGACTGATTGGTACTTACTGAGAATTGGAAGGTCCTTTATCACCATCAATGGTGTAACTTATGCTTCTTCTTCTTTTTTTTAAATGTCAATTTATTTTGGGGAGGGGAGCAGGGCAGACAGAGAGGGAGACACAGAATCCGAAGCAGGTTCCTGGCTCTGAGCTGTCAGCACAGAAGCTGATGTGGGGCTCGAACTCACGAACCATGAGATCATGACCTGAGCCAAAGTCTGACACTTAACTGACTGAGCCACCCAGGCGCCCCTTTGATGCTTCTCGGTCGGTGGCAGGTTTCAACATAAGCTGCTTATGGTTCACATTAATTTTTCTGATACTTGTAGAATTCTTGACTGGGTCCCAAGGCTTCCAGTCTGTTCCTAACCTGTTTGCGAAGGCCCTCATTACTTCAGTTATGCCCAACTTTGAGAGTAGAAGGGGGAAGGGTCCTTTTCCTTGTGGCAAGTGGATTGCTGGGGCAGGAGGAGCAGCTGGTAGGTCAGGGTAAATTTGCAGAGCATGTTTTTATCTATGACATCGAATATGGCTGTCTCTCCATCAGCCATTTGTTCCTTCTTCCTTACTAACACTATCTCAACTTTGTTCAGGTATCGGGCAACTTATGTGCTTCAGGGAAAGCTGATTTCAGCCCAAAGCAGGGTGGATCTTGACTACATGGAACCAATCATGGCAAGGCCATTTTCCTTGTCAAAGATTAGTGTAGGAATTGGCACGGATAGTAATTTTGAGCAGTGGGATTGCAAGAAAGTTTAAAGGAAACTTAAATGAAAATTTGAAAAACTAAATTAAAACTTAAAATGCCTTCTGAAGTAAAGAGTTTCAAGGCAGGAAATGGACCCTCTTTTATTCACACGGCTGCATCTCTATGGAGCTCTGTGTTGCACTTACAACTCTGGCAGCCAGTTTGCAACTATGGAGGATAAATGTGTGGACAAAAGTCAACCTTTTGGTTGGAGGAAGGAAGAGCAGAGGAAGGTAGACGTAGAAAATTGGAAAACAAAATGCAACCGGATGTCTTAATGATGTCGTTGAACAGTGACAGAGATTACCAACTCTGAAACCGCTCTACCTTTGAACTTAACTATTACATGAGATGCTACATTCTCGTTTTTGTTGTGGATGTTCCTGGTTGGGTTTCCTATTATTTTCACCTTAAAGCATCCTAATGGATTATCAATTATTATTCCGCTTGGAGTAATAAAATAGACTAGCTGTCCCTTCAAAATTAGACTGTATCCTCAGAAAAGCACTTCCTAGAAGCAACCTGTGAGTTTTAATGTTGCTCTTTTAGCTCCTAGAAGAAGCCTCTGCAGTTAACAACAGTCTATGTAGGAGGAATCTGCTAGACTTGCAGATGTGATCGGAGGTCTCAGTGGCAGGAGAGAAGAGCTATTTTGGAAACACATGGTGGACTAGTAGTTTGTGCACAATACCTATCCTTACTATACTACCTGGGGAGTAAGGCAGTCTTAGATTTAAAACACTCATACTCATTGAACTGCAAATGATGTACATTTCAAAGGATCCACTGAACTCACGAAGTTGCCTTTGTGTTGTGATCACTATCAAGGAGCCCAGTGTAGACCCCCTGGGGCGCAGTCTACCAGATCCCTCCCCCC